TCTAGAATTGTTTAACTATAGAGCCACTTTAATACTAATGTATTGTTAAAACACTATTTCTTTATGTCTTTATCACTTCGAATAACATTATTAGTTAGAGATGAAAAGGCGACACGTTCATAAAATACAGTCGTGTGAATGTCCAAAATATTCGTAAATCCGGAACGCCGGCACCCCTAGAGAGCAATGCTCCGCAACGCTCTACCTATAAATATTGCACATGGCCGCCTATTCAGTTCGCATCGAATATCGATTGGATCTCAGCGTAACGCAGTGTCCGCAAGGCGTTGTAACCACTGTATTATTAACGACTACGACTCTCTTTCACAGACATATTACTAGACGTACCGTATCCACTGCAGATGTCAATACACTTTCGAATATGTCTCGAATATTTACATATTGATTTTACAGTCTAGACGCGATTCGCTGCTGACTTTGCTTCAAGTTTTGATATCCTAAACAAATTAGCGACATGATTGAATAGAAGAAGATTTCGTTGGACAACGGCCTGGCACTGAGCCAGGATACGATAAAGCTAGAGGAAGTAATATTAGATTACTCCTAACCGCAGCTTAATTTAATATACAGGCACTTACTTTGTTTATAGCAGCTCTGGTAGCCATTGTTTTACAGCGATTCATTACCGGCCGTAAGGGTTAGCCATCACTACTTCAATGCTAAAATAGTCTATCTTTCACGGTACACTAACGGTCTTGGAACTTGAATAATAATCATTAAAAAAAACTAATGCAATAATAATGGCGTCAGATAAGGGACCACGGTTTGATAAAACTATTTCTTCTATAATATTAAATGACAATGTAATAAGTTGCGGTGTCGCGTCATGATACCGTTGTAATCAGAATTATGGGGTTTCCCCACAAAAAACATCAACTAATGATATTGTAAGTTTTCCTTGCTAGGAAACTGCGTTTAGGGGAAACACCGCTTTGTATCTAGTGCATTACAATACATTATCTTTGAAACTTCAATGAATAACGTATCATGCGAATCAATGAATAAATACTACCTAGTTGTGTTAAGTGGCACGGCCGCTATTGCGCTCATACATATATGAGGTCGCCATGTGGAATTCATGATCACACATTCCATAAGTTGTAGCCTTGTGCTCTCTTCCGGAAAAGTTCTCTGCTGAGGTCAGAAATCCATTAGTGTTTATACTTATGTTATTCAATATCGGAAATCGTATTTTATCGTCGCATATCTTATGCATATTACAGAAAGTTGATGACTTTAAAATAAGCATACTCGATGAATTTGTTTGTACGATTTATCGTCAACAGTCCGTGGTAATCCAACTGAATGTGAACTTCTCTTCATAAGACCGCTATCAGAGAACGCGGCTTCCCGGTTTCTATTAAAGTCCCTTGTTCGGCTCCTTTGCCACCCACGTCAAGAGGAAGGGTGGTGACAAATGAGTAAACTATGGTCACGACAACTATAGGTTTATATGTCAAGATATGGATAAAGCAAACAAATCGTGATCAACAAGTTATTTCAGAGCCTACACATACAAAAGTGGAAATTCCATGGGGCGATGACCAGACTATCCGACTTTCACACTGGCGTGACGTATTCTTTAATTCTTAGAAGAAGTAAACATTAAGATATGGCATTACAACTGTTTGTACTGTGGTTTCATTGTTAACCTTTAGCTTCGATGGCATATCTACGATGCATTTATCTTTTTTTTTATAGAGCAAATGTTTATCATGTACATCAACACGAAACTGTCAAAATCGTAGAAAATATTCTACAGTAGCTTCTTTTAAAGTAGCTTTTTCTTTTAGTCTGGTGTCTGACAATCCCTTTAGTAAGTGAATGTACTCCGTGAGGTGGGCCCTTACGGGTCAAAAAACAGACAGCTTCTTGTGCTAATATTAAATTACAATGTTATTAAACAAGACCGCAGCTAATAATGTTGCTTAAACATAATAACTTAGGTAACTTTAATAACGTTACTTGCGGTAAAATTGTTACAGAATTTCAATCAACAGTATTTCACTCAAGGTAGTAATCTAGATATTATGCAGTGCAATTTGCTTGTTTTCTACTTAAAGCCTTGTACCGTTATAGACACTATATTATAGTTATTTTATGGAACCAACATCAGTCAAATACGGCTGAATTAATTAATTAAGTCTTCACAACTTTTTGACGATATCTTAAGGGCTTCTATTTCACCGGGACATCATGGCGACGCAACCAGTCACCGCTACCAACATAATGTATATACAGCTAGCTCTATAGAAAGTTACTAGGTGTCCGCTTGGTTGCGCTACCAGCTTGTGCAATTCGTTGGTAGCGGCGACTGGTTGCGCCGCCATGGTGCCCCGTTAAATATAACTTTAAGTTCATTATTATATTGGGTAACTTTTGAAATCAAATCAGCAACACCAATTTGTAAATTACCACCCACATACATCTACCCAATATTAAAAATATCTTAATGATTCTATGATCAAGATTATGGCGAACGCTTCCAAAATTTTACTATCTTTGTAAAATCAGTTTTCTCTTCTCGATTTACAGTTTAATCCGTGACTTAAAACGGACAGTGACTGTCTATATTTACTTAACCAATCACTTTCACAAGGTGATAAAAGGTGACACCGCAGGATAATGTAATGTATAATACTAAAGTGATAGATTAGAGAATATCTTCTCAGATTATACGCATTTTGTTTGGTCTTTGATAAGTTTTGTTATTGTATATTGTGTACTTCCTTACATAGTTAACTACAAAAGTTGTTCAGGTACGTGTTGAAACGTTTTTTTAAAGTCTAATAGAAAATACTCGTGTTTTATGATACACATACCAGGCAGCTAGACGTTGCTTTTACAACAGAAATGGTCACCGGTGATTGCAGTCTGACATTTAGTATAGGCATGACGTGGTAACTAAAATTGAGTAATATGTTTTTATCTTAAACACCATAATGAGTAGTTTAACAAAACAATTGACTACATCAAAAATTAGTTTTAAAAAAACACTTAAAGGACCTAAGTCAACATCATCATACGAAATCAGGTGTTGACTCGAAACATTCCGCCGAGTAAACGCGACCGGTGCATCCATAACTGATAATAAAATCCAGTTATACTTTCATCCGACGTCTCGACTCGCTCAAGGTCACGTCCTCCACTTTTTACTGATAATTTGCACGTAAAAACGGTATTTTATAATAATAAAAGTTTAACAAATCGTGACTGAAAGGTTCTTACGATTTGTTTTCTGTAAGTAAAACGAAAATGTTAATTTCAAGTGCCCCACATAGATTAGAAAAAAGTTGTTGATGTTTTTAAACAAATGGTTGACTGAACACTTCAAATATTAAGTGACTAGCAGTTTTTCTTTCGAGTTGTAATTTTGAACTTAGCTAATCTATTGAGGCTTTAAATATAAGTGTCTAATAAAGTAGTAAATCCACTTAACTCGTCGAGTACCGTCATTATAGACACAATCATAGAACAATAGGTTGCGGTCACCGGTGACCGCTTGGTGTTTGACAGTTTAAAATACTCATAAATTACTTATGTACATTCATTAGTACTCATACAAAAGAAAAGGAAAAGTAGTCCGTAGGAAGAAGAATCTAATTCAATTAAAAAAAATAAACATTTTCAAATCCCCAACGAGTTCGTTGACCTACCTGTCTGGTTTAAGTAAGTTTGCAAAAACGAATCTTTACAATACTCCTTATACAACTGACCAGGCACAAACTATTTTCAGTTAGTTAAAACAAAGGTTTGTTCACCCAGGATCCCGTCATCTGACTATAACCAGCAATTGCCAATCTATCTTTTATAATCTAGACGTTTTTAAAAGCATATTTTGAGACATGATACTCCCTAATATATTGCCAACAATGGAGGCAGAACAATGCATTTATAAGTCGATTCGTGTTTATATAACGTTTGCGTTGTTATAAACAAATGTTCCATACTTAATTCTGACAAATATAGCTTGTATATCAAATAGTTTGTGGAATATTTTAACTATTTGACTAAACAAACTACTAATATTATAAATGCGAATCTTTGTATTTGTTTGTCTCTCAATCACCTCAAACCGGCTGAAGGGACCGGTATAAAATTAGGCACAGGGGTAGATTAAGGTCTAGAATAACACAGGCTATTTTTTCCCACGGCGATGCAGGTGAAGACGCTGGCAGAAGCAAATACAGAAATAAAAATATGACTTTCATTATTCATATCCGTTGGGAAGTGCAATGACAAGGTCAAGATACTACCTACTGATATAAGACTGTAGGTATTCTTTTGTTCTAAAAACCTACGAAGATAGATCTTTCCCTATAAAATGCCACGTAGACGACCGCTTGGTTATCGATAACGCTGATAAGGTAATTCGTTTCCAAAAAGTATTGTAATCAAACGTCATTAATATTGTTTGCAAGCACAATTGCACGTCATTAGTTATCATAATAACGAAAATACCATCCTTCTAATTGCTTAAGGTAATGTAATTAGTTGTGGCAAGCTTATAAAGGTTGTTTTCTCCAATTTTCGATCACAATTGATTTGGAACCCACACCTTCTTGTCTATTGTAATCGTAACTTTTAGTTTAATTTCAATCAAATGACCTCAAAAAAGAGACAGCGGTCTTCTAAGAAGAAAATGTCCAAAAAGGTATCAGGATAATTTATTATATCTCTCGTTTAAACGTGTCCCACACAAGGATGTTCTCCCGTGTCGTAGTTGCGTTTATTAAAATAATTTCACTAACAAATCACAACCAGACCCGGAACAATAATTTGTGGATCACACAGAGTTGATCCAAGTTCATAGGTTTTCATTTATTTCGTTGCAGGATCCAAGATATATCCCTTAGATGCACTGGATAGAGTTACAACAGTCCCATAAAATATAGGCTCTGAACAGTGGAATGGTTAATAGTATATTTAGTATAGTATATTTATTTTATTTATTAATAGTATATTTTTCTTTTTTCCAGGTTGTATTAGAAGTGGCTCACCGCGTGGATCAAGAGGGCGTGGTGGCGGTTGACTCAGTAGTTGAGAAACTCATTTTCAAACCCCAGGATGTGGTATCCATTAGGGCTAAGGACTCCGACCTCGAATACGCCACGCATGACGTTTTCCAAACAGATAGTGCTATATCTAGCAAGTTTAATGGTGAGTTACTAAACTTTGTAATAAAATTAGACTCTGCGATTAAATCGTCGAAAAAACGATTGTTAACTAACTACAAGGCGGTTGAGGTCGATTCTCGCAGTTTCCCCATGTCTTTAACCAACCCAATATTGTTAATAAATAGGACCGTACTTACTTTTATATGTATAGAAAACTGGGCCCTTTCGCACTTAGCTTGGAAACCTTGTTTCAAAACAAAGCTATTTGTTATCATTTCCACCCCCAAGTTTTTGACCCCAAACTTGTAACTCAAAAAGTTAACTTATAATTTATTGACTTAAAATTTTGTAATGGGCAAATCCACTTCAGATAAGCGTTTATGGTTAAGTCAAGTGACTAATGATCTACACCATGTATAGAAAGTTACATGGAAACCTATGGGTTGGTCACCTTTCTGTCTACAAGTATGATTATTACGAATTTACCTGGAAATATTAAATAGTAATACAATTATGTTTTGTTTAATGGAACCATTAACTAATACAATATTGTGTGGTTTAAATTGCAATCTTATATCAGTTTTGTTGCAAAATTAAGTTAGCAGGTACTTGATAGTGCCTTATTTTATGGCAGAACTTGAGTGCTTAGTTTCAAAGGAGTGGAGCGGTAGCGTAATATGATTACGATTGAAGTGTTATAGGAAATCAATTCTTATCCGTAGGGCTCAAGAGTTAATGTGGAATGTGTTGTTACTTAACTAACCTGCTTGTAAGGCCAGATACATGAATGTGATGAAAGTTAAAGAAGTATATATGTAGTTGTTCTAGTTTCTGCTAATGGGACAAAGACATGACTTTGTAGATATGTAGCTATAACTTCCAACAGCAAAGGACAATATAATATTTTATACCTTTAGAAGTATACTAGAAGGATTCAGTTTCTCGCAGATTTTAGCATGAGCATAATTCTCAAAGAGTTATTTTGTCCCAAAACAGTACTGACGTTGCTTTCTCTCTCCTCACAGGTGTCGCCGCTGGTAACGGCAGAACTGGTGAAGAACGATATTTGGAGCCTTGGGACGGCTGCGATACAGAAGTAGGTGAGGCTCCACAGCTGAACGGAGACGCTCTACTCGAAGATTTGGAGCTGGATCATCGCGCCAACGGTTGGGACGCGAACGACATGTTCCGCAAGAACGAGGAGGTCTATGGAGTGCACAGCACGTATGATCACTCTTTAGCTGGATACACACTGCCGCTGCAGCGGAAGGATACTCAGGATTATAGGTGAGACAATTATTAACTACTAACTAACACTAATAAAGCTTACGGCCCGCGTCAGCGCAGTCTAATTACACTGTATTTAGGCTGCGCTGGTCTCTACCAGCCATGAGAGGCCATCACCAGAGCGTTTCCGATTCTATAGGAGATTTTGTATTCTTTAGTTAATATTCGTTTTACTCTATCTATCTACACTACCGACAAAAAGTTTGGAAGCACTTTAGTTATTAATTATCTTTGAAGGAAAATATAGGAATTAATACAATTTTACCAGTACTGATTAGGTATTTAATTAAATCAACAATTAAACTACAAAATAAAACCACTTTTTTCTTTATAAAACACAAACATAATTTATAATTGATTTTCATTAATATGACTACCCTTTGCCTTAATAACAGCTTGGCAAATTTTAGGCATTCTCTCCAGTAATTTAATCAAATATTCGGTGCCAATTTCTTTCCAAGCTTCCTGTATATATTACCACAACTCTCTAGTGCTCTGTGGCAAACGTTCTTTGGCTTTTCGATCCACCTGATCCTATAATTTTTCTATAGGTGATAGGTCAGGTGATTGCGGGGGCCACACCATCAGTTCAAGCGTACCATTCGACTCCTGTTCTTCTAGATAGGCTTTGCATATTCTAGCTGAGTGCTTGGCATCATTATCCTGTTGAAACACGAATGGTTCAACCACAATACGAATCCCCGAAGGCAAAGCATGATCTCTTAATATTTGCAAATACTGCTCCTTCCTCATAATTCCATCAATTTTAACAAGGTCTCCGACAACTGTTCCAGTAAAACACCCCCAGACTAAAACGTTACCACCACCCTGTTTTACTGATGACACCAAGCAGCTTTCAGATACTCGTTCATGGGATCTGCGGCGCACAAACACTCGTCGATTAGAGCCAAAGATTTGAAATTTTGATTCGTCCGTCCATAATACACTTTTCCACTGTTCCACTGTCCAATGTTCATGCTGTTTTGCCCATTCCAGACGTTTTTTCTTATGTATTGCCCGTAACAATGGTTTTTCTACTGCTACACGACCACGCAGACCAGCAGATGAAAGACGATTCTTCACTGTAGAAACTGACTCTTTATTGGATCGCGTTTTATTCAACTCCCGAGTGATATCCGGTGCTGTCAGTCGACGATTACGTTTTGAAGTCGTTATTATGAACCTATCCTCTGCTGCAGAAGTAGTCTTTGGTCTTCCGCTCCGTTTTCGATCCGATAAACTGCCAGTTTCCCGGTGTCTAGCAAGTGTGTAATGTACTCCCTTAGGCGATATACCGAGTTTTTTTGCAATATCTTTTTCAGAATACCCTTCACTTTTTAAAACAATAATAACCGATCGTGTTTCAATAGGTAACTGTCTTCCTTTGCCCATTTTTCTCCACAAAATAAGGAAATTACTATTTTTTTTAAGTTGTAGTTGTACAGAAAAAAAAATACAATTTGACGGTGTGCAAATAACGAATCACTATTTAACAGAGATGACAGTTTATATTAACTACCTACAATAAGCTATGACGCGTGAAAAATGGTTATAGGGTACTCAGCAAATTAAATAAAGTAATAGGGAAAAATGTACATCAATAGGTTATTGTAATTTTTATCAATATCTCTAAGATAAGACCACAACGATTAATTCTAATACAGTAAAATAATTTGTAATGATAGTATATTAAACTACGAAAAAGATGAAATTCGCCTATAGCCATTTACTATGTGTTATAACAAAAATTAGAGGTGCTTCCAAAATTTTTGTCGGTAGTGTATGTATGATTCAGATAATGGTCCTAAGAAAAAAAGAAAAAGCATTTATTTGGCACATGGCACACAAACAACACAAACTACGTTGTCTCACATATTTTATAGAGCTTACCATCTTACCTTCCTTTACCTATAACCTCCTTTAGTCATCTTATGATCACACTGGATTTTTTGAAGCAAAGTCAAATTAACAAAATCATGATTTATCTACAAATTTTCATCTAAATCAAACGGTGATTATGTCTGAGAAACTCACGACATGTAATTTTTGTGTTTACCAACGGAGCTTTGAAATAACCATCTGTATATCGATTATAGGGACGCGGAAGCAAAAGCAGAAGAGATTGCGGCGGAGATTGAGAACGCCGCGTCATCGAAGGCTCGCATCGAGCTGGAGAACGGAGACGAGGAGGAGAGGTTCGCGGCCGTCGTGCGACCGCAGGACGGGGCCTCCAGCGCTGGGAAATACGTCATTCCTAATAGGAGGAAGAATATGCAGGTATGTATCAAGATATTTGACTGCCTCGTTGGCCGAGTGGTCGCAAGTGCGACTACCGGGCAAGGGGTCGGGTTCGATACCCGGGTCGGGTAAAATATTACTGTGTTTTTTTTCATTCTCAGTAGTAACACGGAGTCTGGAACTGTGCTCGGTATATGGCAATAGGCTCACCCCCTATTACATGGGACTCATAACATAAATGGTGAAAAGAGGTGTACATTATACCATTGTACATTGGTATAATGTGCACCTCTGTCTACCCCATCGAAGATAAAAGGCATGATGTTGTTATGATGATGATGAGGTATCAAGATCATAATGAAGATAGCACTAAATACAATTTCCAATTGAGATTTATCCAAAACTAAAAACATTAAATAACAATTTTGTCAGGCTAAATTCGATCCCCCTTACCCGAAGTAAGGAACCACGGGTTGCTTCTGGGTAGGCGTGCGCTAACATCAAGATTATTATTGCTTACCACCAGTTATGATAGCCAAACACCGGCTCACGAACAATATAAAAATACGATTCTAAAAGATAAATCAATATGAAACGACTTTTTTGTAACTCGACTAAACTAAAAAAAATCGACTAAACAACTCCGATACAGTAACGTAATAATATTTATGAATGTTAATTCATGCAAAGTATTCCGTTGCAGCGCGCTGATATTTCCTTATTATTTACATAATCATAAAGTTTTATCACATTTGCTTGCTAGCAGAACAGAATCGATTGATTTCGTCGTCGGTTTTATTGTACTTTGCTAATTTATGTTAATTCTGTTTCTTGTAATAATAATACAAATTAAATACTAGGTCGAGATGGTCTTTAGTGATTGCCCATTCACATTTATAATATGAAGAATGTTATAATCATCTTACAGTCGTCTCAAGCTTTATAGATAAGTTGAATTAAGTTGGTATTATTATTTAATAGTCTGTGAAGTTTATATATGTTTTACAACCTTTAATATATGTATTACTACAATACTTTAATAGTATTTGCATAATAGATGAGGAGATAATTATTATTTGTGAAACTTACCCTTCTTACCCTTCAATGTCAGGTTTTAATTCTATTAGGCAAACGTAAATGTCGTCAATAAGAATAACATTGAGTGATTACCTGCCATGTTTTTATAATAACTATCGTGAGACTTACTAAATTAAGTAAAACCGCGGGTTATTCACGTGAATATGCTGTCGCGGCGACCGCGCACGCTGCTCATGAGGAAGAACCCCTCTGTGGTTCGAAACTAGTAGAGCTTTTCTCAGTATATTCACGTGAGTAACCCGCGATTTTACTTGATTACCTGCCAAGTGCTATTATCACGACTGCCATGGAATAACTCGTTGTTCAAGACATCAACATTCGACACAGTCCACAGATGGACTATGAGATTTCTCTCCATAAGAGGGTTTAATGCTCAGGCTTGGTTAGATATTCCAGTTTAAAAAGTTCAGGTTTTAAACTGTGGTATCTAAAAAGGGAGTTTGTAACATGATGATGAATTTCCGAATGGGAAGAATGAAAGGTGTATTGCATCCACCTGACATTACTTGATATACAAATAGAAAAAAAAAACTTTTAGATATAAAACGAAATATTGCTACCAATGCTGTCTATAATAATATATAATATAAGCCTTTATTCAGACAAAGTAGTTACATAAAATAGTTTACAATTGTGACTCTGGTGAGTCGTCGTACAACTTCGTCTGTTTGGTGTCTAGTCTCTGTTAAATATGGCCTTCCATCGACTGCCTGTGAAGAGTACCTACGAACAAATACTTACCTATATTCTAGCTAGTGTGACATCATCTTTTAATAAACATATTCCTTTTTCTTTCACACAGACTGGCAAACTAGTAAAACCCACAACGACAAACAACGGTGGTTCTCCACCGATGGGCGCGGTACGGGCGGGCCCGGGCGCCGGGCCGGGTGCCGCGGCGCCGCCGCCCGGCCCCGCCGCCAACAAGGACAAGGAGCCACGCGCACCCAGGCCACATCTCACTCCGCCCGCCGACCGTCGCCAGGACGACGCGGTAAGATACTGCTACATGTCACTCTCACATACACATCACACCCAGACCCGGAACAACAATCTGGGGATCACACAAAAATTTGTTCCGTGCGGGAATCGAACGACCATTTTGATGGTAAGCAATCGGTGTCACCACCAGCAACGGCCTTTTGAAATGGGAAGGCATGGATCTCTGTTATTTCACTAACACAACGCTTCAGTATCTTCACACTGGTTTTATGTGAGGGCGTGCGAGACGACTCAGTCGTACTTGAAGCAAGGCTCTCTCACGCCTAGAAGTTTCGAAGAATGAGGATTTATGGTTTGAGTGATAAATACTGGGATGATTAAAATTTTGCCATTTGGAATTTCATTGATTCTGACTATCCTTAATATGAGATAGAGTCTGATAGAGATATCTGTAATTATTCGTGTATGTTAAATGGCTTATGCCCGAATACTGAAACGTTACTCAATTTTAAGTCGTGCTCAAATATCGTGCCATCTCTGTCACTTCATAAAGAATTTGTAGAGACAGAACTATACTTAAGCGCGACTTAAAATTGAGTAACGTTTCAGTATTCCGACATTAGTCACGTAACGCGGTTAGTTTCAAGACACGCTATCGTGTTTTATTCAATAACGGCGAGCGTCCCATAGTCAACTGATGTTCGCTGTGTCTTTTGTCGAACTTTGTGTTAAACTATAATAATTCTTATGTGTTTAATTTGATTTGTTCCCACAGCCTCTGAACGTCCCCAACAGTGCTGGCGGCAAGAGTTACGCGGCGCAGGCGGCGCAGGGACCTTACCATGTACCGCCATTCCCACATGCACCGCACCAGTACGTAAACTTCATTATTACCTTCATATACCAATTAGGTACTCTTGGAATCATCACAGTGCAAGCTAACGACATTAAATGAAATATTAAATGAAACTTTTGAATTGAAGTAGGACCGGTGAAAGTCTACATCATAGCTTGCTAAAATTAGTCTTTAACTGTTCAATCCTCAAGCGTTCACCGGTAACCGCTCTCTACTAACTCCGTTATAGACCTTATTTCCGATGTTTAGAGACTACTTTTATATGAACAAATTTAGGGTACGATATTTCGACAAGCTGAGACAACTTTATTTTGTTAATCCAATTTCGACCCTGATGACTTTTCAACTGCCCTAACTAGATCCTCTACATGTTGTATATTAAATTAACTATTTTTATGTTCCAGGCCTCCAAATAACGCAAATAAAGTGAACGGCGAGCCGCGACCGCCGCACCCACGGCAGGGATTCCCACCCCACCACCCCCACGTACGTGTCTATCGTAAACAAATTGATAAAAAAGTATGGTATTGTTTTCAATTATTATTATCTATTCTGCGACGTAAGCAGATACATACTATTTGGGATTTGTAAATGTGATTCGACAAATTGAAAGATTAATGTATTGCACTGAATTCAAATCATTGTACATATGGATAGAAACAAGATTTTACGAGATATAAAAACAAAAGTAAATGCGTGCATGCGTCAGATCCGACCTAATGAAAGACCGAATTTTTGAGAGATGAGGTACAAATGAGCAGACAAGTCGCCTGATGGTGAGCGATTAACACAGGCTGTAGACACCTGCAGCACCAGAAAGTTATGATACTGTAAGATAAGAAGTATATTATCTTTTCTCAATTACTAATTAACTTCTCTCGTCTCTAGAACCCAGTAGGTGGCGGCGAAGCACATGGTCGGCCTCCACGTCACGAGCCCCGCCACGAGCCCCGCCACGAGCCCCGCCATGAGCCCCGCCACGAGCCCCGGCGGCCCGAGGAAGGCGTGCAGGAGCTGCGCAAGTTCTCGCAGGACTTCAAGTTGATGCCGACGCCGCAGCCACTGCCGCCACTACCGCAGCATCCACAGCAGCCACAACCACCCATCAATGCTCAGCCACCCGTATGTGATCATATTGCTTTTATAGTAATTGCATTAATACAGCAGTCTACTGCTAGGTCATTAGATATGTTATCCACAATATCCGTGCTAATACAGGGTGTAAACAGAACACTTTCGAAAAACGCTGACAGGTGATGATAATAAACGAGTTTTATTTTTATTAAAGTAAGGAATCAAATGTTTATTTTATGTAATAATAGTTATAATTAACTGCTCAGAGCAGATGTTGCATGAATATCACAAAATCAACAACGATTACTTTTGTCAGCGTGTCGGGAGCGTTCTGTTTACACTCTATATATATATCACAACTAGCTTTTACCCGCGGCTTCGCTCACGTCACAAAAGGATAAAAAGCCAATGTGACATATACCAATACAGACAGCGCCATCTATACCAATACTTTTGTTTTCCCTCGGGAATATCAAATTTTTCCGGGATAAAAAGTACCCTATTATTTAATCTGGACTTCTAACTTTACGTCTGCAAAAATTCAAAGCAATCGGTTTAGTAGTTACGGCGTGATAGCGGAACAAACAAACAAACTCACTTTCCGATTTATAATATTAGTAAGGATAAGGATTACGTTGATATTGAAAAGGGTAAATATCCAACTCTAAATCTAACCTTTTTAAATCAAGTGAATCATACAGATAACCAGTCCTCTAATAAACATTACCTCTCAGTGTCGTTTATCAGAAACTAAAACAAGTTAAACCAATTAAAATCTAATTAAATTAACTTATGAGGTGAGGCAACTTATTGAAGTTAAGTCGTGCTGATGCCTATTTATAACTAATTGCAATACGTAATGTGGACATCCTAACCATATTTCACGACTTTGGGACGCTTTTTGTCATTTTGTCTTATGATACGTATATACATAAGAAACTTCACTTCTCCTACTATGATCCCCACAACTGATACCAATACCCCCCAGAGCCAGCCCCCGCCGGCGCCGAGTCCCCCCGAGGTGTCGGCCAACGCGTGCGCGGCGCCCGACCACAAGCGGGAGCGGCCGCCCAAACAACACACCCCGCCCGACCACCACAAGGTAACGCACTGCTACTAGCGACCGCATACTGCTTTCAATTGATCCTCAAAAAGCGTATGCATAAGGTCTAATTGCGCTACGTAATTAGTATATATAACATCACGCTTTTTATCCCCGAAGGGGTAGGCAGAGGTGCACATTATACCACTGTACAATGTAACAACCACTTTTCACTATTTATGTTATGAGTCCCATGTAATAGGGGGTGAGCCTATTGCCATATACCGGGCACAATTCCAGACTCCGTGCTACTACTGAGATTTTTTTAAAACCCAGTAATACTTTGCCCGACCCGGGAATCGAACCCGAGACCCCCTGCCCGGCAGTCGCACTTGCGACCACTCGGCCAGCGAGGCAGTTAACAATGCGTAACATACTAGATATTACGCGTTTTATAATCCCAATGAATGAAAGTATATTTTAAGAACTACTTTTCACTTGTTATTTTCGAGCTCCTTGTAAATAGTGACTCAATTCCAAGCTCCATGCTAAAGCTGATAATATCCCAAATTCTTGTAGGCACTTAGTCACTGGTACTGTCGCAAACCGCATACTCGGCTAACGATGTGGTCAAAAAAGACAATCTAATACGCATCAAACATCATAACCTAATTGTTATAGCGCATGACCGATACAGAACTGTAAATTTGCGCAATATACCCGTTTAATTAGTGACCTAACGAGACTTTAACTTATACATTTTGGTATATATATTTTGTAGCAGAATACACCGGCACCAAAAGGCGAGTCGCCTTCAGTACAAGAGGAGCGCTCGGCTCCGTCTGCTTCGCCTCCATCGTCTGCATCGCCAGGAATGGATCGCGTAGTCGCTATCAAGAAATCTACTCTCAACCCTAATGCTAAGGAGTTTAACCCGGCTGCGAAGCCTTTCACACCTAGAAGTCCCAGCACTCCGAACCCAAGCCGGTAAGTTGTTGCTTTTTACTTATTTGGTTTATTAAGATTACTGTGTATTACTAATGTTCATGTTAAACTTAAAACTTTCTATTTGATAATTACAATATTTCCTTGCCTGGTAGTTACAGACCTCATAAAACGTGTGATTCAGTTTTAAGCCATATACGATATTACTATTTCTCTACCTTCAATCTTTTAAAATTTTGGTTGGAATGAAAAGAGTTTCAACCCGTTTTAAGGCAATCATATTTACAATTGAAAAACACTCAATTATTAACCCTTTTCTTTACAGTCCCCACACGCCAGGTACGCCATCAGGCGTAGGCGTCGGCGTTGGGGTCGGCGTGGGTGGCGTAGGCGTGAACCTTGGCGGCGTGAGCGTGATGGGCCCGGGCGTGAGCTACGTGTCTGCGCCGGTGCCGCCGCCGGCCATGCAGTGCTACCCGCAGGTGGCGGCCGTGCCCTACGCCATGATGGCGGCCGCCGCCGCCGCCGCCCAGCAACCGCCCGCATATTTGCCGCATCCACATCCTGCGGTAAGTTGCGAAACTTATTATTAGTTGTAGTTCAGTCACTTGACGACGATATAGATATAACTTTAGACATCGACGGTCAATTGAAAATAATCGAAGAGTAATTCTCTGCTAAAGTAAGTCACCGGTGCCCATTGAAATGTGAATTTAACGGAACTGTTCGACGAGGTTACACAACTAATTACAAGCATTACTAAGGATCCATAATTATTCCGTAAATATAATTACTTATCTTTGAAATCATAATTAAATGTTCATCATTATGTCAAGATCTGTCTATAGGTTGTCAAGTTACTGAGTATGAATGAACACAACTCCTAACTTCACGATAATCTCGCGAAATTACTTCGATATTTAATTTGGACATAGACATTAAACCTGTTGAAGTGAATTTCAAAACAAAATATAGAACGAAAAGACTAAACATAAATATATGCGGGCGACAGATGGAGATGGGGTGCGATTGCCGACAGTACGGGCCGCCTATATTCATGGTGCCCGACAAAAGGGACCGCCCTGATGCGGTGAGCACAATGCGGCACTTACAACACTAATATTTGTGACGAAACGAGCAAAAAGCTAGAGTTTGAGCGAAATTCGACCTCATCTCTAAACCTGTTAGTTGATTTTTCAATGTAATTTAAGCTTATAACGTGTAAGTCAAGTTCAACCTTATTGTCTTCAGTTTTAAATTGATTTTTCAATGGCATTATAGTCACAAATGTTTACAAGTTGAAGTGCCGCCCGCGTGCAGTGTTAAGTTTTCCGCAGTGTGTCGTAATAATGTTGTACAAACGGGTGCTTGCCGAGCTAACCGCCTGGCTAACCCCGCCGCGGATTTTGTGGGAAATTGATACTTTATTGTGATTAAAATGGTACATTTTAGTATACAATCAAATCTTGTAGCAATAGTTCATCTAAATATTCCAAATGACGGCGTCTTCTATAACAGCTGTATTACGGTGCCTCTAGATTTTAAACAACTCGTAAAATGATATGTAGTTAGGCCATCAAATGCTAAGTCACCTTTGCCTTGCTATTTTGTCTAAACAACATTATTATTATTGCAAAAACAGCTTGTAAAGTATCCATTTCCTACATATTCCATCACCAACCAACACAATCACATAATCTTAACTGTTCTACATACCCAAAACTAATGCCTCGAGTGATTTTATATTATTTAACAGCCAATAATATGTGAGTTTAAGCAAACAACGGGAGCTTTGATATCAACACGGATTAAAGCACTTTGATTAGTGTTTCACGTGTGATTGGTTAGGGAACTTCTATGGTAGCAGAAGCAGTGAATATTTACATCTGGGTGTCTTCAAGGCCCGAGTGAATAGGTTGCTTATGGGACGACGTGCTCCATCGTAGACCGCATCATCGCTTACCACGGCGAGATCGTGGAGAAACGTTGGCCCATCAAATATAAAAGACATAGGTTCATAGTATATAACTATATACACCATTCGTCTTAGTTCACTAGGTGGCAAATAAAGGAACGGATGATTCACATATGCAGCTATAATTTTTACACACTATTTCATAGCCTTTTATGTGTTATGTTAAAAAGTACGTGGAACCGTTAATCAACCTCTTGTTGGCTCGGTTTGCAAGCCAAAAAAATAGTTCCACATTGTCTCACACGATTTTGATGTTAATATTACAATAGTAGTAATTCTCCACGTGTAGAAAGCACATTGATAGTGCACCATTTGCACACGTTTGACTACGATAACAAGAAGATACGATTAGTGCAATTAGTTCCAATTTCTGGGCAAAGGTCGCAGTGTCTAACTACACATCTTTTGAAAACTACTGAAATAGCTTAAATTATTAAAATTATAAGGAAATAGTAACACCACAAATGCAACGCCAAAATGAGATGATACTCAATCAAGCTAAGTATTTCCAGCGATAAGACTGCATATAATTTATAATGACGTCCGTTTATGTACTTCTATCTTACATAGGAATGTCAATACAAAACTAATTAAGAGATAAAACAATTTATTCTCCACAATATACCTAGCACTTAAGTTTATCGTTTTAAATACTAACATCCATGTTGTTTGCAGTGGTTTGTCTTAATACCGAATTTGTTGTTTTCAAGTGCACTAAACTTTAATTTAATAACCAAACATCAGTCGTTTATTTAATCTAAAGTTATAATAACTTAAATACTCTCTTCAGGTTTCAATCCAACCATTTGTTCAGACATGTCCCATAATTTTGCAGCCAAATCTTCGTTTCTTGCCTTCATGCCCATGTACCCCGGTTTACAATCAACAAAGTATCCCCCCGTCGTTTCATCACAGTCATCGGATATCGCCAAATACAAACTAGTTTGCGCTCCTTCTATAGGGTTCTTGAAGAACGTGTAGAATATCATGGTTCTTAATTTTTCTAGAATAGTTGCCTTGTAAAAACTCGTGTTGACGTGACCAGGGTGTAAACTGTTCACGCTAACCCCTGTGTCCTCCAATCTCCTTGCTAGCTCATTGCTGAATAGTATATTACATAGTTTACTATCACAATATGTTCTGATAAAGGAATGAGGGTTGTTCAGATCGCTGATCGTACCAAACCTATGTAAGGTCGACGTCACAATAATAACCCTGCTTGGAGCTGACTTTTTCAACAAAGGAGTCAATAGTACTGTTAATAAAAACGGTCCGAAGTAGTTGACTTGCATATCTCTGATGAGTCCATCTTCAGTCCTGTCCCTATGCACACCGCTAGCACCGGCGTTGTTTATCAAAATGTCCAATTTGGCTTCTGAAGTTTTGAAATCTTCAACGAACTTTCTTATTGAAGCGAATGAACTTAAGTCCAGGTGCATATATCTTATGCTTCGGTTCTTCGTCTTTTTTACAATAGAATCCGCGGCCTTTTGGCCTCTTTTCTCGTCTCGGCAGCCCAATATGACCTTAGCGCCTCTCCTAGCCAGTTCCAAAGCAGTCTCATACCCAATCCCACTGTTACCGCCCGTCACGATCACAACTTTACCGCTCATCACATTGTCAGCGTAACATTTTCCATTTGTTATTTTATTATACGTTTTTATTACAATCAAAGCTATAAGCACCCAGAAAAACCACATTTTGTCACAGTATTTAAGTCGGTTCACTTAGAATGTGAAGAATATATTTACACAGATGAAGTCACGGATATATTCAGTTCTTATGTATTTGTGCTAACATCGCCGTTCCCACAATGTCACTGAAAGATTTATCTGTACAAATGTCAAATCATGTGAACGGACTAATTATCAGCTTGGGCCGCGTGGCCGTTATCAAATTTATCGTTATCCATTCTATATTGTGAACTGTGTTCGATTGTCTGGCTGTCCGTAACCAATAATTAAATGATTTGAATTTGCGAATAAACAGCGAATCTTTACTTATTGATTCTTTTTTATGCGTAGTTGTTAGACTCGAATATTATATCTCCATTATCCGTTCATTAAGTTAATTTTTAAAGACCAATGTCAACAGTACCTCAGAACTTAAGCAACACAATTTTTGCTTTCACCAAAATATTTAATTAACAGTGATAATCCTCACAATCAGACGATAGCAAAACCAGCCACATGTATCCACAACAAAAGCGATTATTTGATAACATTGTGATCAAAAAACACGTGATCTCAAAGGTCTATAAAATTAAACATTAATTTATAATATCGGGAACTAGATTTTAATTATTCAGAATATCTTGATGACATTTCATTGAATATTTTAATACCGCTATAGACTTGTGAAACCTGTTTCTTTAACATTAAATGTAACTAGTAGTACCGCGAAAACAACCAATTTTGGCCTAAATAATGTCTTTTCTAAGGAGACAGACAACCTGATATGGGTCCTAGAGACTTACTGAATATACCTTTTTAACGATTTGGAATCCCCTCGGATCTCCCAATGACTTTCAAACCGGAACCGTTCGGAAGATCAGGCTAACGTCTGGTGAGCCGTGTGGTGACCAGCCGTTAGCGATGAATGGACGACTGGTGATGAATGTCCAAACACAAGATAGTTAATTTTGACTTTAACTTCTATTCAACATAAATAGACACGGACACTACCCTCTACATGCGTACTCTATGCGTCCTAGACCAAAGTTCGTGATGTTTCCGTCATGATAACGATAGTTCATCTCATAAATATTAATTAATTACGCTTTTCTTTACGGATTCACTCATCTAGTTGTTGGTTTATCGGTACTGTGGTCATAAACATTTAGAAAATTGATACATAGAAATACTTTTTTGTTCTATAACGATGTTATAGAACAAAACATAAACCTATGGGAAATCATTTTGTATTTAACTCGTCGAGTACCGGTTTTGTAGACACAATAGGCGTGTCGACAGGGTAAAAAATTAGTCCGTCATTAAGATCGCACGAAAATATCAGACACGTATTTTTTGTTTTATCAAATTAACAGAAGAATACGTAGTTATTCCGCATTAAAGTTGGAGTGGGGGGTGTTGACGTCACACTTATGGAGAAATCGTACCTAATTGTGACGTCACGCGTCATTTTAACTCATAATATCTACATGTTTTTTTGGATACGAGAAAAAAGAAAAAACACGTATCGAAGATTTTTAAAATATCTAAAAGACGGACAAAAAATTTAAAAAATAGTCGCCATGCCTATTATAGAACAACAGCGGTCACCGGTGACCGCTTGGTGTTTGACAGTTTAAATTGATACTCTTATATTAGATATATACCTCTTCTTTATAAATGAAGAACTTTTGTGGAAAATATCTTCCTATATCCACCAAAGAATCCTTTTTATGTTTAAATCCAATGTGTCATTAATAAAGACACGAAACAACATACAGTATAACATTTTATAGATATGAATTCACACACGGATACTGTTATCTGTGTAATTTATTCGTAATCTGAGGTTATCGCTAGATATTGGAGAAAATAAAATAATTACATACATCTGTCGATGATCGATAATATAGTGTAAACTACTGTTTAACTAGACTTTGATCGTGACTGCGATATTTTCCATCAACGTTTTTATACTCTATCTTTCTCTTGTCCATTCGTTTCATAAATTAGACAAATTATTATCAAACAGTTTAAACAAATTTAGGAAAACATTGCCAGCTAAAAGGTATTCCTTCAAATTATTATTTTTGTGTGCATGTGAGATGCAGTTCTGGACTTCAAACATAATAAATATCGCTCCTCTTTTCACTTCCTATTTCTATAAGATTCGTATTGAACAAACAGTTCTGTAACTATTCATCAAATCTATTTATACGACACTCAATTTTACAACCATGTTTAACCCGACACATCTGAAACAAAACGAAATTCCTCCATTATTCCACCAGATATTGACTTACATACTTTACTAAATATTATGTGAAGCCTAGCAACTCTTCTTCCTAGTCAAAATAACATTTTACTAATAATATCATATTGTAATGTGTACAGTTGGCATATGGAGCGATGGGAGGCGGTGGCGGAGTCGCCGGCGTCACAGGCGGAGGTGGTCAGCCTCCTATGCAGACGCAACAGCCCAGGAATTTCCGTAAAGGTACTTTCTATAACACATACATTAACTTTTTTAACGATTTTACGCCCGAATACTGAAAGACTACTCAATTTTTTAACTTAAATATCGTCCCTTCTCTGTCATTTTACAAAGAATTTGTAATGACACAACTATACGTGACTTAAAATTGAGTAACCTTTCAGTATTCGGGCGCTAGTTTAATAAATTGGTTAAAAATATACAGCTTTGCAAGCAGTTTCGATAATTACATGCCTAATTCTGTTAATAGTCAAAGATCGATATATCTATCTATCACTATCGTAAAGTTCAAATATTGATATTTAGGTTACAAGGTATACTTTCATTATTTTTATTAATGTTCAAATCTAAAGACAAATGTTACGGAAATCCTAAGCTCATATTTTACCGCGGAGAACCTAACGGGGCTCCGACTGAAGTGTAGCAGTAGGAACGGGGTGGTTTTTAGTCAGTATGAGTCTGACACTCCCTCCCGCCTCACCCAGGCGGGAGCAGTCATTCGATGAATTCCCCCTCTTAAAAAAATCTTATTTTCTTATCTTATTTATATAATATTTTCGTTATACAACTTTTATAAACCCGTTAGTAATGTAACATGTAAGTAACTGTATAATTATTATCTACAGGTTCAGGCATGCAGGTAGCGGCGGCGACGGGCCAGCCGCTGATGGCGCCCGCCCCTATGCAGCAGTTTGTGCCCTACCCACACCCACACCCCGCGCCCCACCCGGCACAGTCCGCGCTGCCATACCCACACATGGTGAGTTATAGATTATATTATTAACCCGTTGAAATCCACCCCCTAAATTTGGTCATACAAAAGTAGTCTCTAAACATTACAAATAAGGTCTATAATGTAATGTAATATTAGTGGAAAGCGGTCACCGGTGACCGCTTGGTGATTCATGGGTATGGATTCGTAATAAATCTATAAAAAAAACTACAAGAAAGACTGCGTTTTTTATTATTTTCGTATCTTGCAACATTACTGAAATATTTCTATGGTGACAGTGCGTCGTAATAGTGCGTACTAGCGGATAGCATCACACCCTTAGTCATTTGACAGTCGTGCTTTAATGCATACGCAAATGCAAAATAAAAATAAAAGTGTAAAATACTCTTTGTTAAAAATGAAAAAGAAGTAAATCTTTGGTTGTGTCCCATTAATACAACAGTTATAATAAGTAAAAATCGTAAGTTCATCAGCACTAATGTCTTAAATATTATTTATTTTATATGAAAAAGAATAACATAATTAAATGAATAAACTAAAGGATGACCAACGGAAAACCAAGCCGAGTCTGAGTCCAGCTTCGCCTGTGGCATGGTCAACTAGCATAGGTTCATAGTCCATACATCATTAGTTTTGCAGTTTGGTATAGCGTGAAATGAGACTATAAGTAAATAATATTTATCCTTTTATTACCACCCATAATACCTATGTAGTTACTGAATCAAACACATTAAGTTAGATGTTTAAGTTAGAACAAAAATCTACCAGCTGCAGACAATGACATGACAATGACAATTACTTAAAGCATACAACCGTAAAATCGAGGTTCAAGACCAACGAACGCTCCGCTTCCACGTTATTGCAATCAAGAATTTTTGATGGGCGCATAGAGAAAAACGTGATTGGTACCGAGTCATTGAGTGACACGACGTTACCACAGGTGCGGATGTACCACAGCGGCGTGGGAGGCTCAGTGGGCGCCGTGTCGGGCGTCGGCGGCGTGGGCGCCGGGGGCGCGCTGGGCGGCGGCGAGGTGGGCGGTGTGGGCGGCGGACAGGTGGGCTACGCGCCCCCGCCCGCGCCGTC